AACGATTTGTTGATGCATTACAGAGTTACAGCAGCATCCTAATTATAAAAGCCCAGTGACAGAAAGAGCATATGACAGATGACAGAGATCAGAACTACCGGCCCCTCGCCAGGACGGCCCTGCCACCCTGCGAGGACCCCCACCCCAATTGGGGGCGTGGCCCCTCGCCCAGGCCCTCCCCGCCCCCTAGTGGGGACCCCCACCCCGATCTGGGGTCCCCTTCAGGGCAGGCCAGCTGGCTCCCACTGGTGCACCAGGCCTCTATCTTATATAATAAAAGGGTAACATGCAAATTGACCCTAAAGCAGAATGACCAGAACAACCCCTGGACCAGTCACTATGAGGTGCACTGACCACCTGTCTGTCTCTTTCCCTGGCCGGCAGCTCCGATTGCCTGATGGCGAATGGGGAATCAGGGTTAGGTGGCGGGGGATGCAGACTGCGCCAGGCCAAGGCCCCCGCCCTGCCGGTCACCTCACACACAGACAGCAACCTGCGGCAGAGGCGGGGCTGGTGAGCAGGTAGGAACAGCCAACCTCTCAGTCCCTTCCCCTGGCAGTCAAGCACCAATCACCTGATGGCGAACGGGGAACTGAGGGTGGGTGGCGGCGGTGGGCAGGGTCGGCTGCAGGCAGCCAGGGAAAATGGCCCTGATCGCAGGTAGGCCTAGGGACCATACCTGCGCACGAATTTCGTGCACCGGGCCTCTAGTCATTAGATAATGCCGGGTCTACACACAGAGACAGAGACACGTGGCACAACAGGCGGATTTTAATTACCATTTATTAAATACATGGATGAGTACGTGATTGTTAGCATGTTTGGCTAAGTCCAAGCATGTTCTAACCGGTAGGGAGAAAAGCCTGGAAGAAAGCCCTAAGGCAACCACAAAGGTAAGTGACTTCACATAGAAACTCTTGGCCAAACAACTTTGCTAAGGGACAGTACCTCACATGTGTCCCAGAGCTGATGGTACTCAAATAGTCATTAAATTAATGGCCACCACAGCAATGATAGGATGGCTGATGATGCATTCCACAATTCTGACAAAACCATGTTAGCCAAATGAAATGTGTCTTGAAAGAACTAGAGCATAACAATTGTTACACCAACAGAAAAGTGGTATTTTGAGAGCAATTATATGGATTATTATCTATATACCACAGGCATTTGAATGATGATTAGGTTAAATCTGTGTTTTAGGAGTTGAAGAGGATACATGCCTGGATAGGGGTTCACTACTACCAGGTTTACTGACTGGGAAAAGCAAACTGAATTAACTATACTCTAGTTATTCCTGGCAATCTTTTCATTGCATTAGTAAGAATTAATTTTCCACTTTCCTGCTCTACCAAAAGAGTTTCCAGTTTCTAAGATTAAAAATTGAACTTCTAAGATTAATAGCCTGAGATAAAAAGGTACCTGTGTGGTCCAACACGGTATTTAAGCCACAAGAAGAGTGCCAGCTGGCCCCATTACCTTCAGGCCACGTGCCAGAGTGCTGCTCGACTACGGATATACTTGATCAGAACAGGGCTTTATTACAAGTCCATTCAGGGCTGAAACTCCAGGTTATGCCAGGCAAATGTATGCAACTCACTTGACCTTGCTCTCAAATTCCTTGGGAGCTCAACTGGGAGAGGCCACGCTGCCACCGTCTGAACTAGCATGTCCCAACATGAAGGTGTCAGCTGTAGTACATGTTTAAAAGGAAATTTTCAAGGCTGCAGATATGTGTTTCATTTGCTACAATGACAATCTTTGTGTCTTGCTATGAAAGTGGTGTAACAACAATGAATACAACAGACCACCCAATGCAGTCCACACTAACAAAGGTAGGTTTTGGCTTGTACTATGGTGGGGAAGCTTTCTCTATAGAGCAGCCACAGCCTTACCTGTCCCTATTGTGGGGAAATGGGCTCTATGGAACATGCAGAAGTGATTTGTCCTGTATGTGCAGCATTACCTGCAGGCGGTCCTACTCATGTCACAGATGACTCTGCAGCTCATCTTACACTTGAGCACAGAGCCCCTAGAGGTTCAGATGAATCGAGGGGTGTTCCACATGTACGCAAAATGTTTCCCCCTGGCTGAGGATTAGGAAGTCCTCATGCTCATAGATCAAACACGCACTTATTAGTATGAACTTTTTCTTCTCAGAGTTCATATTCTCCAGCAATAGGGAAGCCATGGGTCCTGTAGCTGAGCTTTTCTCTCAGTTATCAGGAGTGAGACATTCTGCAAGAGGACAGTTTA